GACATGCAGGAGCTCTTCAGCATTCCCAAGGAGTATTGGCAGCAGGAGGTGGAAGCCGTCAACCAGTACCTGGACGAGCAGGTCGGCGAGGACCTGCCGAACGAGATCGTCGAAGAGATTGACCTGCTGCGCGAGCGGATCGCCAAGCTCTAGCTTTGGGCGACTCTTTCGCCGTCGCAGCTGCAGCTCACTTCGGACCAAGCTAGAGGGGTTATTTTTCACGTAGAGGCCGTTTACATGCCTAACGGGTGGTTGTGGTACTCGTGATGCCTTTGTGATCTTGCTTCTGCACATTCCATTTACAAGCATTCCTACTTGAATTTGATCCTTTGTATGGATTATGACTTTCCTAAGCAACGATATATTTTTGTATGGGTTTATGTCCCAGGAACGTTTATTGCACACTTCGTGCCATATGAAGAACGCCTTTTCCATGTCGTTTTATACTATGTGATGCTTACTGTTGATAAGTGATACTATTTGATACTTAATGAAGATGTGCCAGTCACCACGTTGTGCACAAATTGTTGCTCAAAAAGTTTATATTTTCTACACTTTTTACCAGTGCACAATGTCTTATAGAACGATTTATTTTGTTTACGTTGGGTGTGTTATGCCCTCACCAAAAACGTCGATTGCGGGAACGCCGGTGGTGTCTGCGAACACCACACTCCTTGAATGAATGGAACATATCCTGCGATATTAATGACTGCCCAGAAATAAAAGTCGTCAACGTGTAGCATTTTTTCGCTCCCGACTGAGCGACAACGCCGACGAGTGAAAGCGGCGTTCCGCATTGCGCGATGCCTTAAATCCGCATCTCAGTCCCGGGTGTAAGCACGCGCGGGCTGGGCTAACCGTGCCGCGATGCGGCGTGTCCCGCGCGGTGCGAGCCAGACGGGTGAGGACGCCTCGTGGCGACGGACGCTTACACTGGCACGGGCTCTCAACCTGAATCATAGTATACTAAACCGATTGGTCTGTGGGTGGCCGTGGGCCTTGCGGCTAGTTCTGCCCAAGTGTTAAACTGGAAAGCTGGTTGATGTCACCAGCATGCTGAATGCTGGCAAACTAGAATTTCAGATGACTTAGAATGCATGGTCGTGCTATTGCAGTCGGGAGCTTTTGCGCCCACTTGCCTGCATTCCCAACGGGCACATCCACTTTTAAAGGCTATAATTTCACTCCGACTATTGAAGCGCATTGACACCTGTTGCCGCCTGTCGACCGAACGCGTCCCATGGACACGTTCGGCCGGTGGCGATTATCTCGGAAAGTTATCCAGAAGGTTTGAAAATTCTCCAGGATGGCGTCGGACACTGCCAACACAGATTCAGCACAGATGATGACTTGCTGGTCATATCGAACTGGCAGCATGCTTTTCGCCGATCGGTGGAAAAGTGCAGCGTAGACGAGTTAAAGCACCTGCCCACGACGAAATACCCGACTGTCAACCGCCGCCGCCGTGACAGGTCAAGGGCAATGCAAATGCGCGCGAGCAGACACCCGCCCCTCCGGAGACACCATGCCCGCAAAATGCACTTGCTCATCTGCGGTGCTGTAGCCGCCCAGCGGTTCTAGCCGCCTTGGATGGTCGGCCAGACACTATACGCTCTTTGACCCGCAGAGTCGTGAGCGTCGGAGAGCCGTCGCTGTGCGCCGATGCGGCTGGCGTTCCTTCTGCGGCCCAGAGCAGCGCAGGCCGCAGAAGGAACGCCAGCCGCATATTGGATTGCTGTGTCCGACGAGCTCGGGCGGCCCAAGAATGGATCAAAGCCAGCCCAGTCCGGCCCAGCCCCGATGTGGTGCACCAGGCACCGGGTGAAGTGATCCAACTGGCGCTGCGCGCTGGTGACTGCCACTGCCTGTCCTACCCACGTGGATGATTCTGTTCCACCCGGCACCGTAGCGTCGCTGGACGTCGGGCTCGCGCTGGCGAAACCGGCAGTGACGGTCTACCGCTACGTTTCGGTCAGAAGAAGGTAACAACAGCCGGTGGTCCTGCACAATGATGGACCAGCGTCAGCCCATGACCTGACAACGAGGAGCGCACTCACTCCGGCCCATCAATCTTGGCGACCTTTTTGAAAATAATGAGCTCTCTTTCAAAAACCGGATGTCTCCCTCAAACTACGCATTGCGCAAGTGCAACAGATACGTTGATGACGCCGCAGACGTGCTAAACAGACACGCTGACATGTCCTGGTCACACTCAAAGTCGATATATCTGACAGCAAGTGACTGCAGAATGTACATCAGATTGGATGCAAAAGATCTTATAACGCCGTTACCAGCCCACAGGACTGAAGACCACTCTCGGAAAGTGGGGGTCCAGGATTCACGGTCCCTGGGCCATTGGGAAACGGCCCGCTTCCCCCCCCCCCCCCCCCCTCAATTAAAAACACTTCGGTTTTTGGCGAGCTTATCTTGGCATTGGCCCACCGATCTCGATCTCCCCCTAAACGAAAAACGAAAAACGAGCACACAGACTCGGTAGTAGCTGGAAGACATATACTTTTTGACTTACCGAACGTGCACCTTTTGGTTTTTATGGAGTATACGACCTTCTCCTGGTTGAGATGTTGATTTTTAACACTTATTGTGCATTTCAAACTAGAATGCCTGAAATTCTAGTGTACACTACGTTTTATACATAATTGATAAAAACTAGTTTGGATAAAATCGTCGAAAAGAGCATAGCTTGGTATTTTGTCCATCCCTAATCCTTCTCCTCACGGCAAGGCATTTATGGTTATGTACAGATGGGCATCAACCAACATCGGCATCGGTGTCCGTATTGTGTTTTGATCGTAAAAGCTTTCGATGAGGATAGTCGAGGTCGGAATAAGATAGGGAGAACTTGAATGAGGAGCTAAAGGATCAAGGTATGGTACGTGAGAATAAGCCGCCGTAGATCATAGACTGGGAACCATGTTCCATGTGTGCAGGTTTTCAAGCAGGTGCATATTTTCTCATTCAGTTCGGATGTTGGGCTTGAGAGCCCCCTCCTCCAACTTGAGCTTGGGCCCCACAACTTGGATAGAATGTTGAGACCTATTCAAGGAGAAAACTGTATCGTGACGCTACTGGCGTGTGCCTGAGTCCGCCCCTGCTCGCGCCGCCAGTGCTGCTGCACCTTCGTGCGCCGCTGCCCCGACCGCCGGTGCACTGTCTGGGGCGCCGCCCGCCGGGGTCGGCGTCGCCTGCTCGCCTCGCGTGTTAACACAGTTGCCTTCTCGCAGCGCTCGTGTCTGGTCTGGGCAGATAGAACACGCCAGACTTGAATATGGCGCAGCCGCATCGGACCCAGAGTAAGCTTAAGCAAGCGTGAGCGGCACATTAATTTAAGCAGTGAGAGCTGCAAAGCAAGTCAAGATGCCTGGATTTCATCCTCCTGAGAACTTCGACTTCACATCGCCTGAGAGGCGGCCGACCTGGCGTGATCGGTTCGTCCGCTACACACTGGCATCGGGACTACACGACGGTGACCGGCGACACATGCGACGGAGGACGGCGACCTTCAAGTAGCTGCGTCGATTTACAGTACGGCTCCGCAGGCTGAGCATACCATACCAACATTAAAGCTTATTGCTGAGCAGAATGAGGATTTTGAAGTTGTCGCAAAGCTAGACGGGTGCTTCATTCCGAAAAGGAACTGTAATGCGGAGCGTCACAACTTCGAGCTTAGGTCTCAAAGCTCAAGCGGGACTAATGAATCGTACATCAGAGCTTTGTTCTCTCTAGCTGAGCACTGCAACTTCGCCGACGCCGATGAGCGTATCAGAGATCGTCTCATCTCAGGAATGTATGACAGGGAGCTGTACCGTAGAATTCAGCTGAAGTCACTAGAGGAGCAAGTGTCTGTAAATACCGTCATTTCGATGATGCGTAATGTCGAGATCGTGAACGGCAGTGACAGCTCTGGTCCGCCTGACACCAGTAGGGTTTGCGCACCGGCGCAGCACAGGCAGCCGCCCCAGCAGCACCACCCGCGATAGCAGCAGCACCAGCAGTACAAACGTCAACAGCAGCCTTCCACCGCGCAACGGTAACAGCATAGTCAGCGTGCCGACTTTTCAACAGCATGCAGCTAGTGTGGAAGAGCACGTCATGTGTCTCCGAAAGATTGTCCCGCTAAGGGAAAAGTCTGTGACAACTGTCAGAAAATGGTTCATTTTGCATCTGTTTGTCGCTCCAACGGTGCCAGAGCGATTGACCGGACAGAGTCCATTGAATAACTATCGCCGCCCAACATTTTTGTTGGCAAAGTAGACAAAGCTTGCGCGCCGTGGAGAGTTATCGTCCTTCTTGATGGTCAAAGTCGCTTTCAAAGTTGACTCTGGCATTGATGTTATGTTAGCATTCTGACGCTGGAAACGTACAGGAACCTGAAACTGCCGCCACTTCAGCATGCTTCAAATACTCTGACGAGTGTTGGTAGCGTGCTAAAAGTAGAAGGAAAGATGCACGGAACACTCATGTTCAAGAACAAAGCCGAGCCTGAAGTGTTCTACGTTGTTGACTCGGCTGATTATCTCCTCTTCAGGTCTGCTTGCTCGCGCCTAGGTGCGCTGACGTTCACAGGTGAAGTCAACGAAGACGTCCTCGAAGAGGCACGTCTCCTGAAGACAGCACCGGTCGGCATTCAGCTCCGTGAAGATGCTGTTCCAGTCACCCTCGCCACTGCAAGAAACATCCCGCTGCCACTGATGAAGCCGGTGGAAGAGGAGCTGAAGAAGATGGAGCATCACGGCATCATCACGTCGGAAACATAGCCAACGGACTGGGTCTCTGTGCTGGACCCCGTCCTGAAGCCGAAGAGAAGCGGCGTTCGCATCACGGTTGACTACAAGAAACTCAACCAGTCTGTGAAGCGACAGGTGTTTCCGATCCGTACTCCGGAGCAGCTTACCTCCAAGCTGAGTGGCGCAACGCTCTTCACCAAGCTGGACGCCTCTTCCGGTTTCTACCATATCCCGCTGGACGAGGCGAGCTCCAAGATGATCACGTTCATCACTCTGTTCGGCAAGAAGAGGTTCCTGCGATTGCCGATAGGGATCTCGTTCGCACCGGAGTACCTCCAGCGGAAGATGGAGAAGATGCTGGACGGACTGTCCGGAGTCACCGTCGACATGGACGACACCGTGGTGTTCGGAGATGCCGCCAGCTACGGTGCACATCTCGAAGCTGTCATTAGGAGGATCCACGAGTCTGGCCTCAAGCTGAACAGGAAAAGGCGCGAGTTCCGGAAGAACAAGGTCAAGTTTCTGGGGATGAAGATCAGCAAGAACGGCATCAGCATGGACGAAGAAAAGCTCGAGGCGATCCAGCAGCTCCAACCGCCAAAGAATGTCAATGAACTAACCTCACTGCTCGGAGTAATCAACTTCCTGGGCCGGTTCGTTTCACACATCCAGGAGTGCTTGAGACCACTGAACGAGCTTCTGAGAAAGAACGTAGCATGTATCTGGACACCACAGCAGCAGCAGGCGCTGGATGACGTGAAAGCGGCCGTCACTTCAGCTCCAGTTCTGACGTTCTACGATCCAGCACGAAAGACGGTGGTCAGCGCCGACGTCAGCAGTTCCGGCATCGGAGGATGTGTTCTCCAGAAGCACGGCTCCGTCTTCAAACCCGTCGCGTTCTGCAGCAGAAGCCTGGCTGACACCGAGACCAGATGGGCCCAGATCGAGAAGGAACTGCTCTCCGCGACGTGGACGTGCGAGACAATGCATATGTTCCTGTCTGGGCTGCCGTCGTTCGAACTGTATGTGTACAAGACTCTGATCCCGCTGGTTAACACGAAATATCTCGTGGACGCGCCGATCAGTGCCAGCGCATGCTCATGCACTTGATGCGATACAACGCCACAGCAGTCTTCGTTCCAGGGAAGCAGCACCTGGTGCCTGACTTCCTCTCACGTTACCCGCTCCAGAAGCAGGATGAAATCAGCGCTGTGCTTCAAGAAGACACATGGATTCTGCGAGAAAATCTTCAGCGATCTTCCCGCCACACCGCAGCGTCTGGTGGAGATCAGCAAGGCGCAGCAAGCAGACGAACTCCTACAGCGCGTAGTTCAGCAGACTCTCTCTGGCTGGGAGGAGGGAGCGAAGCATTCCGACCTGCTGGACTACTCCGCCCCTCGGGGAGAGATGAGCGGTGTGTACCTAACGTGTGGTACACTGCTGATGCACGGGCGACGCATCATCATCCCTCTGAGTCTGCGAGATGAAATGCTCACTCGACTACATGATGACGGACACTTCGGTCTAAACAAGTGTCGCCAGAGGGCAGCAGAATCGATCTGGTGGCCTCAACTCGGCATCGACCTGAAGCGTCATCTCGAGAGCTGCTCGTTCTGTCAGGTGAACGCGCCCGCCCAGCACGCTGAGCCACTGGTGACAACCCCAACGCCATCAAGACCGTGGACGCACGTTGCAGCAGACGTCTTCCACTTCAACAACTGCAACTGGCTCGTCATGGTGGAGATCTTCAGCAGGTATCTGGAGATACAACGCCTCCCGAGTCTTACCAGCAGCGCGGTTATCGAGCGTCCGAAGCGCCTGTTTTCCCGCTTGGGGATACCAGACCTCGTGACAACAGACGGAGGAACGCAGTTCACCTCAAACTCGTTCGCCAACTTCACAGCGTCCTACGGCTTCACAAACCGTACGACAGACCCGCACACGCTGTCTTCCAACGGAGCAGCTGAACGGGCCGTGAGAACCGCCAAGTGGATGCTTGGCCTGAGGGACCCCAACTCGCCCTCCTCAACTACCGCACGACGCCTGTGGAAGCAACCGGACACTCCCCAGCCCGTCTCCTGATGGGACGCGAACTTCAATTTCGTCTCCCCATCGCTCAGCCAACCGGAGAAGCGACATGGCAGCATGCCAAACTCCGAGATCGGCAGAGGAGGAAGAAGCTGGAGACGTGCTTCAGCCGGAGACGCGGTGCCCGCGACCTTCAGCAGCTACAGCCCGGGGATCATGTTTGGATCAAGACGGAAAAGGAGGCAAGCTGGACCGAGCCCGCCACCGTCATAGAGAAGCTCTCTAGACGCAGCTACCTTGTGGAGCTCAAAGGTGCTCGGTGTCGTCGCAACCGACGCCATCTGATGCAGATCCCTCCGTTTCAGTTCTTGACACAACACGGGTCCACGCGCTGTGCTCACCGTTCCGCACACAGAGTGCCCGCTCCAGACCTCTTCTCTAGCCGCCATGCTGAGGTGGCGCCACCGGCGCTGCTGCAACCGCAGCCGCGCGAACCGGCGCCTGCACCATGATCGGTGGTGCCGCGGCCACCACCAGCTGTGCCGTCGCCCGCGTCGACAGCGGCGCCGCCGCCGTCGCTGCCGCCGCTGACAGAAGCTGCGGCCCAGCCATGCGACGCGCGGGTGCCCCAGCCTCAAGACCCACCGCCACTGCTCAGTTGTCCGCGTAAAACACGCAGTGGCCGCGTTTTCTGAGAAGCATCAAATAAACCGCATAGAAGCAGCAGGGAAGCAGCAGCCTGTCGCCAGTAATTTCGTTTCGTAAGCGTATTAGCATCTATTTGCATTTGCTCAAGGGGAGGGGGGGGGGGGAAGATGTATCGTGATGCTACCTGTACCTCTGGTTTCCCAGAGGCGCAGTAGATAACGCAGACGCTTTAACCACTGCGCGTCGCCCGTCGGGGCGCCGCCGCTCGCTTGCCTCGCGTGTGAGCACAGCTGCCGTCTCGCAGCGCTCGTGTCTGGTCTGGGCAGATACAACACGTAAGACTTGAATAGTTTAAAATAGTAGTGGTAAAATTTGGTAGGAGGTTTTGTCATATTTTTGGGCTGGGCTCCAACTTGCTGAGAAACAGCCCAATTCAAGCATACAAGCACCTAGAGTGCCATTTTATACCGTTTCGTGATGGCTATGCCCTCTGCTCCCATGTTCGCTTCTCACCCCTGAGTGGTTTGTTTTTGCTTATGCCAGAATTTTGGTCGCAGAATTTGTGGTGCATGAAAACATGTGAAGTTCAGAAAAATTGCATTATCATATTAATCATATATATATATATATATATATATATATATATATATATATATATATATATTGTATCACATATATCATTTATCATATACCATATCATATAAATATATATCAAATTTATGTGATATATAATCAGGAGTTAAGTTCTGTTTAGGGAATAACATGTTATGCTAAAAAGAGATCAAAATTTAAAAGTTATATTGCGTGAATTTAAACTAACCAAGACAATGTCAGCAATCCACCTCAATCGAACATGCATCAGTGAAATGAAGATTGCCTGACCTAATTTTGGGCATGAAATGACTGGTGCAGTTGACACATGCACATCCTAATGCCATGCCATGCTAGATCCTAGAGGACCAGCATGCAGCTTCTGCAGGACCCTGTTACGCAGTGAATGTGGCATCACAAGCTGTTTGCCCAGAACAGGCAGTATCTATCCATTAATAACTTTTATCTGCATAACACTGTCTTAATGCTCTGAACTCTGGCTCTACCAGGGATGGCCAACCTGACCAGACATATGAGAACATTCTTCCCAGGATTGTGTCTTGTCAAATGGCCATCTCCACTTCTTCCTTCAACAAAGTGGGGCCATGCTCATCCTAGCAGCATATACAGAACACCTCTTTTTCTTCCACAAAGTCTCTGCTGCCTTATCCTTTGGTTGTCAGGAAAGAACATCAGCTATTTTCCCATTCTCACACTTGCACAACTTTACTTTGTGGAAATGTACAGCCAGCTTCTGAGATATCTGCACACCAGCTGCTGACAGGGCAGGGAGTTCCTTATCAAGATTTAAGGTATGGGAAGTGGTGTTTTGTCTGGGACTAGATGGAAACACTGAAAAGGTACTGGTACTGAAGGACACTCCTACCACCTCCTTAACAACAGCATACTGCTCCATAACTGCGAGCACCCTGGATTTGAAAAAGATGGGCTGCTCCATCCCATCTGGTTGAACATGCACCAAGGCTGCCCAGACTCCATCACTGCTCCATCCCATCTGGTTGAACATGCACCAAGGCTGCCCAGACTCCATCACTGCTCACAACATTGTTGGCATTGTTCAGCTTCAGTGGAAAAGCCTGGTGGAATGGCATCAGTACTCTTCCATTTGTCAGTATGTTCGTGACCTGGTCCAAAGAGTCAGGCAAAATGGTGTTGGCTGCCACATTGCACCCTTCTCCAGCTGGGTATATAGCAATGCCAGTATTGAAGCAAAGTTTGGGATCAGACACTGGTAGCTTAAGTGAGTATCCCACTTTGTATGTCCTTTCACTTACTGTTACATCAGATGTGTACCACTTTACCAGTTACATCGGTTGTGTACCATTTTACCAGTGACACCAGATGTGTACCATTTTACCACTTACATCATTTTCCTTGAAAGCATTCTATAAAGATCAGGGTTTCTATTGATTTGTTTGAGGAGGCCCTCAGAGCCTGGAGGGTGCACCGGGTCCGACATTCAAGGGCTCGATTGGGGGGGGGGGGGGGCAGAGTCTGAGGACATAAAGAGCTGGGTCACTATTTTCATATATATATTATATATATATATATATATAGTATATATGTATAATATTCTATTATAATTATGTATTATGTTCGATTGTAGATATATATATATACATATATATATATATATATATATGTATATATTCGAATTATATTGATGTATTATGTTCTATTGTATATATATATATAACATATATATATATATATATATTATATAATATAATATATATATATATATATATATTCTATTATATGTATGTATTATGTTCTTGTATATATATATATATATAACACATAATATAGATATTATATATATATATATATATATATATTATTAGTATTATGAGGTATATGTATTATATATATATATATACATATATATATATAATATACTAAGTATAATATATATATATATAATAATATAATGTATATATTATATATATATGTATGTATTAATGTTCTATGTATAGATATATATATATATATATATATATATATATATATATTATATATAAACATATTGTTATTCAGGGTCTCCGGTCTGCGGGATTGGACCCTCAGATGACGGTCGGAGGGCCCTTAATGCCAATCACGGACATCCTGAGTCGATTTGAGCCTACATGCCGGTCAGGCACCACCAGTAACGCACAGTCCGCTCCGTATAGGTGTGAATCAGAGGGCCCACTTCCCAGGCGGTCACAAAGCTGGGTCCAGTGATTTACACTTGTCGGGGCCCTGTATCTGTCAGGGGCCCACAGTACCTAACGAAGGCTTCTGTGCTCGCAAGTTGTCCCGAGCCGATCAAGGACAGTGTTCGATGAGGCCTGAAGACTGGTCCTGGCAGCCCAGCGGAACCGACTATTAAATCAAAAGCCCGATTGGAGGACATAAGGGTCCGAAGGACTGGCTGCAAGTCATATAAAGAATTGCGGTCCGTAGGATCGTGACCTGAAGTGTCAGAGGTCATCTTGTGCCGTTTAAATATCCCCTTAGACAATGCGGTTGTTGTGTTGCGTGAGTTGGTCAGATACCAGCAACACCGAACAGTGAGCTCCCTGTCAGTCTGAACCCCGGGACCCATTTACCAAGCAGAAGCAAGACCGGAGACCACGATTGGCATTGGTCTGGGTCCCTGAAACAACGGTTGGGGACGCTTTGTCGGTAATGGGCATACAGTGTATAACAGGGGTCATGTAGTGCCGCGTAGTGCCTGTAGTCTGTGCCACCTGTAGTGCCGTGACCTGAAGCGCCAGTCAGAGGATTTCTGTTAGGGCCCTCGTATTAGGGCTCTCTATCTCTAATACGTAGGGTCTCGACACAGAGCCAAACAGTCGGCTACATATCCGTCTGAGCCTCGAGACCGTTTCCCAAGCGGGAACGAAGCCGGGGCCGGCGATTCGCAATTTTCGGGATCCGTGACACAATGAGGGGCTCCTGCGCCAGTCAAGGCCGCAATGTCTCACTTTGGAGAAAAGAGCTTAGCTTGTAATTTTGGTCTGTTTTCGGGGTCAGGGGTCGCGTGGCGGCAAGTGCCCCGATTCGGCCAGGAGCGGTGTATGAGGGGGGGGGGGGGGCCCGGAGCGGGGCCGAGTGGTCTCTTGGGACCAAAGATGAAGGGCCCGATTGGAAGACTAAGCGGCCCCAACGGCTGGTTGTAGGTCACGTTAAGGACCCCCGCCCGCAGGGCTGTGCTTTCAAATGTCAGTTAGAATGCCTGTCGCACTGATTGGGAGGGCTTGAAGTAGGAGAGCATTCCTATGTGTCGGCCAGAGATCACCAGCACTGAACTGGTGTCGGGGGCTCCGTGTCGGTCTGAGCTCTGGGGCCTATTTCCTTAGCAGGGACATGGCCGAGCCCGCGATTCAATTGGTCGGGGCCCCGCAACAGCGCGGGGCTCTCGCATCTCTCAACGGCCCCACAGTGCTTACAGGGTATTCTTTGTCGACAATGGGGCCTCGATTCGGTCAGGGAAAAATTTGCTCAACAGGAACGGGGGCGGGGCCCCGAATGACGAAGGGCCTCCTGCGTTGGTCGGGCCTTCTGACAGTAAAAGGAAACACTAGGGCTTATAGTTGCTCACATCGAGTCAATGGAAGGGTCCTGTGCCAGCCAGGGCCCCCAGCACCGAACGTTTGCCCCCCCCCCCCCCCTATCCAATTTCGGTATGGGCCCGTTAAGCCGAACCTGAGTCTTTGTGCGCATTATTGGATCGCCTGCAGCGATCAGAGATGGTGTTGCGTCAATGATGGTTCTTGCGTCGATCCAGGGTCAACCGCGGTCTGCGCCGGTCAGAAGGCCTCCCGCGTGAGGGAGGGGACCAGTGTGATGTGATGCATTCCTCGGAGGCCTTCCGGATCGGTCAGAGGAGCCTGTCCCGTGTCGCCGGAATGACGGCCGGAAGACAACCCGCGGTGGGACGGAATGGCCCTTCATCTCTTGAACGCGAATAATAATGTGGTCCCTAGTGCTCTTTCCGGAAATAGGGGGTCTCATTAGTGTTAAAAAGTGTGTCGAAATAATATAATAAAATAATATCAAAAAATAAACGAGGCCATCTTTTGCAGAATCGAGTAGTGAAACATGTTATCGAAAGGTTTGATTCTGCGCGCTCATAATCTCGGAAGCAAGGAGAGCGATAGCCTGGGTTGCAGTTTCTGTAATTCCAAATGCCGTCAACCACTGCAAGTAACACCAGACGGCGGGTGGCGCGCTCGCGAGAGCGACCATCGTGGCGTAATGCTCCCAAATTTTTAAAAAGATTTATTCGTGCCGTTCAAAGATTAGGCTGGACGCATCTTTTTTTTAAAACAAAGCGCAAGTTGTGCTTTGGACAGATGAACAGCCACAGCAACACGAACACAGATGCTACCTTTGCTCCTCCCGTTCTACCACCAGATCCGAGCGCGACTTCGCGGTGCTTGAAAGGCCACTCCATTCAATGCAACAATGTAAAAATTGCACATGTAAAATATACGCCCGGTTACCTTCTACATGTGTGATTTTATGTCTTGGAACGTTCAGAGGCAGTTATTAAAAATGTTCGTATTTTACGTCCACCCGCTGACCACTGCCTAATGTTAGCCGCGGAACTGGCGCCGCGCGGCCTATGGAGACTGCAACGTCCGACATCGACTTTTGTTGCGATGATTTGTGAGCGCACATGCCCAAAGCTGCGTTACATAATTTGTATTATTTAAAAATTCCGACTGAATGTCGGACATTTTCAGACAAACATGGCCTGGCCATGTTAATGCAAACTGTTGGTCAATTTCGATCCACATTCGCGGGGTCCGTACTATCTCTACAGCTCAGATAAAGCTGACTAAAATTCTGAGTTCTTTCGGTTGGGAAAGACTGGATGGTTGAGAAAGCAACTGGAAGTTTATAAAATGAAGATGCTCATGATTTATTCCATGCAGTCGTTCAAGCATGATTTCTTCAGTTGATCGACGACAAGATTCATGCAGAATTGGTCTCGCGGTAGCCTCTGGCTTCTATTCTAGTTACAGAAGGGGCAAATGAAAGATCAAACGAAAACATGCCCTCATTAACATATGGGCCATATGCGGCGATTTTGTCGCGGTATCTTTAACTACCAAGGGACCTTTTATCAAACCTGTGCCCCTCCGTTGCCAGGGCTATGGCTGCGCGCCAGGTTGTTTGGGGCAAGGTGCGAGAATGTGTGGGGATCGGCTGGCGCCTGCGGAGGAGTGGCGGGATCGTGGGGAACGGTCGGACTGCTGAGGCGATTTAGTAAATGTATTGTGCTTGTTCATGGTCTATGTTATTTTTGTTTTCAGTTTTTCGTATGCTTTTTTGGTTAGGGGAGAGGCGATAAGCAGCCACCGCTGGTTTTGCCACAAACCTGGTGTTGTCTTCCAACATTGGCATAATATATTTCGGAAATACGTCGATGGCTTGACGCGTGGAAGTGCGGTTGCCGTTTTCATTAATGTTCCGATGGGAAAGTGTTTGGTGGCTACCTTAAAACAAACGTGAAATTGAGATAAAGACGGCCGTGATCGGCTGTTGACGATGGAGTCCGCGTGGTTTCACTATGATTCCTAGACACTTCTTATTTTGTCCTATTTTATCCTACCTGTTTTATCACTATTTTTTACCTATTTTATCACTTTCCCACCATTCAAACACGAGTCCCGATACAGCCGCTTCGTGCCATGCCCTCGCATCTGTGCCCGACCCACTGGGGTGACTGACTGTGCCGTGTGTCCAACAGGCGGGCATGCGCGCTCTGCTGCGCCTGGCGCTGCTGACCGGACGACGCGCCGCTCTGCCGCAGGTCGCCCGTCGCCTCTGCGTCATGCCGCCGCCGCTGCGCCACCTCACGCAGCGCGAGGCCACCGAGGTGGACCGCGAGCTGTTCAGCGAGTACCAGTTCTCGGTGGACCAGCTGATGGAGCTGGCCGGCTTGAGCTGCGCCGTGGCCGTGGCCACGCACTACCCGCCAGCGGGCGAGGCGCCGGCCGTGCTCGTCGTCTGTGGCCCGGGCAATAACGGCGGCGACGGGCTCGTGTGCGCGCGCCACCTCAGCCTCTTCGGCTTCGCGCCCACCGTCTACTACCCGGTGCAGAAGGAGGTGGCGCTGTACCAGCGGCTGGCGCACCAGTGCCGCCAGGCGGGTGTGCCCGTGCTCGAGCAGCCGCCGGCGGACGTGACGCCCTTCCGGCTCGTCGTCGACGCGCTGTTCGGCTTCAGCTTCCGGCCGCCGGTGCGGCCGGTGCTGGAGCCGGCCATGCGGTTGCTGACCGACTCGCCGGCGCCCGTCTGCAGCCTGGACGTGCCGTCCGGCTGGCACGTGGAGGAGGGTCCTGGCGAGGCGCCGGCCCTGGAGCCGGCGCTGCTCGTCTCGCTGACGGCGCCCAAGCTCTGCGCCCGCTTTTTCAGTGGCGCGCACTACCTGGGCGGCCGCTTCGTGCCGCCGGCGCTCGAGAAGAAGTACGATCTCAACCTGCCCGAGTACCCCGGCACCAGCTGTGTGGTTCGTCTCTGAGTGGGGCCGCAGCCCGAGCCTCCGCCGATCGGGGGTGCCGGTGCGTCCCATGTCGCGTCGGCCGGCTAATTGCGCGCGACGGTGGTGCGAGACGCGGCCGCGTAGGAGGCGGGCGGCACAACGCAGCTCCAGCGGGGGCTCTCTTTCGACCGGACTGGTCAGCGGTCACGCCGTCCGGACGCGCTGGCCTGGGGAGGTTCGAAAGAACCCGTTACGTGGCCAGCATCGGTATGTGCTGGCGAGATCACCGGCGCCGGAGCGTTGCCTCGGCAAGCCTGCCCAGACCGCGGCGAGCAAGGCGATCGCGGTCCGCGGCTCATGCCTGGGATTGAAATGTTTGAAGGTGGAAGTCTGTGCCTAAGATGTAGGTAACACGCTGAGATGGATGATGAGGTCACGGGCTGTTGTGTGATATTCGCTGTGAGCGGGAAGCGTGTACACTACCCAAGCAGGGTATCGCGTTCTGGCCCAAGGTCTGGTTAATACAAACGAGCATAAAAATTGTCATGTGTTCACTCAAAGTCCGATGGGTGCAGAAATGCAATATCACAAGAGCTGGAGATCCTGGAGCATTTGCAGGATTCCAGAGTCCTTCCAAATCCCAAAAATAGCATCATTATTATACCTGTCTATCATCTCCGATCTGAATACCTATCTGTCCTAAAGGCGCAAAATGCCTTCGGCCATTTCATCATGAATTTATGCCAATGGGATATCTCCAGCAATCCACACCGCCGTCAATCGCCGGGGCTTGTGCCCCATGCTCCCGCTTGTCACCCACCGGGCATCCCTCCCACATCGCACTCCCTGATTCCAGTGCCTACCGGGCTCCGCGCGTGCCGGCAAGGGGCGTGGACGTGACCTGTAGTGTGCATGCCTGTTCCCTCCCAGGCTCATGGCGTTAACTGGTGCGATTGCAGCACTCAGACATCAGAGGGTATGTCTGACGCTGCTGCATGTACAGAGACATTCGGTTGAAATGGGCATGGCTAGTGTCCGGTACATTTTGTTATCTAACCTGCGTTTAACGGCAAAGTGGACAATAATTTAACATCCATTGGAAGAACAGCAGTGAGAGCGTCGGTTTGATGCATCGCTCAACCACTGAATCTTTCGGATATCGGCAATAGGACATGATCTGCAAATACGGTCCTCCGAGCCGCCGGTCAGAGGAGCACCACTCGGCTTTTTCACAGGGCATTAAAACCGACCTCTCTGAGTCCGTCATTGGGTCCTTTGCTAAAGCCAACAGAAAACAACGCATCACGCTAGAGAGTGATTATTTCCAGACACGTACGTGTAAAAATCTTGAAGCGGGACTCATTTGATCGGGCGAATGACATCGCTCAACTCCGCACTTCGTTTCATTTCTGAAAATATGTCATTTACAAGTGCTCGCGTGAATGCGTCGCGCGACCTGACATGACCTGCACTACAGGTCAGGTTGCTTGCTTTTTCTGCCATAAATTTTTGGTTCATTTTTAGTGCACACTCAAACAAAACACGTTGATATCGATTTCACTATACTAGGTTACACTGCTTAGCAATCATGACGCACTTTATCTGTACACAACGAATACCGATTTGGCATACGGTGACGACTAGTGGTCAAATTTATTGATTTCCCGCGAAAAGCCGAGAAATTCATTCCTTATTCGAGTTCTTTTACATGTGTGGCGTTTCGGAAGAAAACAAACTAGTCGAAATGTTTCAAGCCGTTGGGACCCATGTTAAAGTCAACGGGAAATAATGTATCGCGATAGAAACTGATTATTTCCAGACAATTTTGTGTGTAAGTTTTGAACGAAGCCTCATGCTATCAAGCAAATGTCATCATTCAATTCAGCATTACATTTCCTGTCTGGAAATGTGCTACTTACAATTGCTTGCGTGAAGGCATCACGTGACGAAACAAGACATGCACGCCAGTTCATGTGCTTTGCTTTTTTCCACCTTGAAACATTTATTCATGTTACGTGTACATTCGAATAAACAGGCTTATATCGGTTTCAGCCCGTTAGGTTAGCATGAACATCTCGTGGGATTGTGTGAGTATATATGTGTATATATATATATATATATATATATATATATATATATATATATATATATATATATATATGTTTATATATACATAAAATAATGCATATATAATCCCGCGTGATATATGTATACACACACACACACACACACACACACACACACACACATATATATATATATATATATATATATATATATATATATATATATATATATCTCTCTCTCTCTCTCTCTCTCTCTCTCTCTCTCTCTCTCTCTCTCTCTCTCTCTCTCTCTCTCTCTCTCTCTCTCTCTCTCTCTCTCTCTCTCCCTCTCTCTCTCTCCCTCTCTCTCTCTCTCTCTCTCTCTCTCTCTCTCTCTCTCTCTCTCTCTCTCTCTCTCTCTCTCTCTCTCTCTCTCTCTCTCTCTCTCTCTCTCTCTCTCTCTCTCTCTTTCTCTGTTTGGCTTCAGGCCATTTTGAGGGTTTTCTAGAACTTGCGTAATAACCCCGATTGAATAGTATATAGCATGTATCTTGTTTCTTGACACATATCAGCTGACCCTTTATGACCGCTGGAGGTCAAACCACTCGATGCCCTGCAAAAAGCCTCGACACATGATGTCAGTGAACTTTGGGCTTTCTTTGGTACCAGTTTTGTGAAAATCGGAGGGTCGCCGATTTCTGCTGTGGTTTGAATATCAAGCTGTTGCCAAGTTTCAGCGCATGTCTAGTATAACTGCTCAAGCGGCTGCGAGTTTCAGTCATCACGACACGCCGCAATGGTGTCAACGCTGAGGACTTTCGTGCAGAAAGACGCTTTGAAAATGGAAGGATAATGGCACGCTGCCTTACCCATCTTTTTTAATTTACTTATGTCTGGGTATGTTTCATCAGCGCGAGTGTGCGGCAAAAGGTTCTCGGCTGTCTCGGAAAAATCGCTGAATAAATCGCTAACTTCACGGACATGAGACATAATGGGACAATGGGACCAAGGTTTCGGCCCGCTGAGCATTTACATTTTGTTTGATTTTTTACACAATTACCTGAACGAAAGGTAACCGTTATTAACGCTTACCTCCCCTTATATTTATCTTCACGCAGTTTTGCGGTCTAAACGGCTTGCTCTCTTGCGCGGGATCCTCACGTTTTCACAAACCGTCTTGAGCATGCCTGCTGTCTTGTTCTTTCGCATCGGCGAGCTTTTGTACCACTGGCTTTCTGTGGCGGCAACAGGGGATCGGCAGTGATTGACTGCCAGGAAGAAAGGACTGTCCTCCTGGAGCATCTTGGCTGGGCGGCGAGCCCTCAACAGCTTATACGTCTGAACCGAACGCTGTTGGGGATTTGCGAAGGCCTCTGGATACGGAGGCCCGACTACCCGAGACCGATACCCCGTCGCGAGTCTTGGTGGTGGTGAGCCGCTCGCTACATTCTAAAAGCTCGTCGCCTGTTGAGTCGGTCCTCCGCTGGACATCGTCCCATTTCAAATGGCGGCTCTCATTACGGCCCCCGTGTCCGAACTGCACTGCCACGTGTCACCAGAGCGTCGATGAAGAACCCCGGGGCTGCTGAACCCAGCTGACCTGCGGCATATAGCATCCGCTCTTCCTGTTCGCTAATGGCGAACGCTTGGTTCGGACGCTTACTCTTACCTGTCGACTTGAGGAGTTTAACCTTGGCTTTATTCACATCTCCCAGGCCTTGGTAACCGACATCTTTTTTTCAGTATCTCCCTTGCCCACTTACTGAACGTAGCGGCCAAGTGCTGAGACCATAGAATGTATTGAACTGGTGTCGTATCTCACCGCCGCCTGTCTTCTTCAACTAGATCACGAATAAACAGAGCAGCCTGTTCAGTCCCTCTCTGTATCAGCTTTCTAGATCAGCCAAGTCGGATGCCGCTGCGAAGTTCTGTAAGGTACAAAGTTGCCATAGAAATTGTTAATACCAGTTCAGAGGACGCACACCGATGGCCGACCACGGTGAATCTGCGGGACGGCCCCCAGAATGCGGGTGCGCGTTCACGCAGTCAGTCTGAAGGCTGACCCGTGTTCGCGCACCGATTTCATCGCGGCCAAGGCCTCTTGACCGAGACGCTCTGTGCCGCGGCGTTGTCGGGACGACACTCCAGGTAATCATCTCCCCTAGCGAAATTTATGCTGTGGGCGTCCAAGTGCCGCAGAAGTTCTGACAGCAGTCTTCAGCTTGTTGGTCATTGCTTGAACTCGCGGGTCCGACGCGCCGGGGAGCATCCTCAAGACCGTCCCAGACTTGATTCGGAAGATCGTGCTCCTACGGGTTCAACGTGCGTGTGTGTGATCATCTTTGCCGTTCCACTGTATTCTCTGCCTATTCTCTCTAATATATAATGCGTTGGATTAAATATTTACCGCCCAGGGTGCCGGACTGACCCACAGTGAAAGCTAAACGACTTACATCGTGACGCCAGTTTAATAAATGTACTTGGGTGGCAGGCGGAGCTATATTAGAGTAACGATAAACAGACGCTGGGTGCTGCTGCAGCTTTTTAAACAACTAGCCCAATATGCCATTTTTCTTTTCGTGGGATTACGTTTTGAAGCGTCAACAAATGTTTCGGTTTCGACATCCTCTGCATCGTTTAAGTAACCCAGGTACATTGGAAAGCATGACTTTTCGAGCAGGACAGTTGTTAACAGCGTATGGAAAAATAAATGCCACACTTAAGGTGATAAATTCCTCAACACGCGATAGGGTGGGGTGGGGTGGGGGGTCAAACTGACGCCCCGAAGGTTCTGCGGAGTGATTTCCGAACGGCGCAGCGTAGCCTCGCCAATTATCGCTGTAGACAATTGAATAGCGGATCGTGTGGCATAAAAAATTAGATGTACATTGTAAGGTCGCTGACCTATGGCAGGTCAAAGTCAGACCATGGTTTCAGCGAAGATAATTTCCAGGGAATCGTTCAATCTGATCCAACACAACGAAGTAGGCAAGCAGATGGAGACAAGTAGACAACGCCATACATTTCCGAGATACTGTTTCAGGCAACACAACAATTGAATAAACAAATTGTATTGACCTCAGGTATGAAAGTCAGCCCAAGGTTTTTTTATTAAGCTTAGTTTTTTATTTACCAGCCTGTTTTGTATCATTCTAGGGCTCGCTGTGTGAGGTATTTTCTGGTACTCATTTCGAATTTGTTGATAGCAGGAACCATATTATACACCCTCCACGGACCTCTTAAAGATCAGAATAGGTCACTGACCTGAAATGACCTATGTCAACATCTTGTTTTCAGGAACATACTGCCTAATGCAGTTTTTGTCGCTTATTCAAATGCAAAGCTCAAGGAAATCTTGTGTTATTTTAGTCGCCATGACCTTCAAAAGATAAAAAAGGTCACTGACCTTAAATGAGCATATGGCCTTTTGCTTAGAGCGGTTATCCAGGTTCTAGGAGCCCTTCAGAGACCAGTCTGCAATCT